CTACCTATGTGGGTATGTGGGAAACAAATATTTAATAATGAGCTCTTCAATTTAGCAGAAAAAGGTATAGCATGGTCCAATGTGTGGAACAAGTTGAAACTAGACAAAGTCATACTGGATATAAGGTTTCAGAGTAGCAGCCGTGTATAAGGTGTAATTTGTTAACAGTGAGAGTAATTAACCATTGGAACAATTTACCAAATGTTGTGGTGGATTCTCCATCACTGACCATTTTTAAATCAAGATTGGATGTTTGTCTAAACGATCTACTCTAGGATTTATTTTGGGGAAGTTCTATGGCCTATGTTATTCAGGAGGTCAGACTGGATGATCACAGGGATCCCTTACAACCTATGAATCATAGAAAGGAAAGGTGACTCAGTGGTTAGAACACTAGCATGGGTCTTGGAAGGCCAGGATTCATGGTAATTGTAATGTATTATGGTATTGAGGGCCATATATGTTCTGTAGATAAAAAGCAGTCAGTTTAACCGTGTAAATTCCATAAACTGATATTGTTCTAATGGTATCAATGATAAGTTCTCAATCAAAGCTTATGTTTCTGATCCTGAGCAATAACACTGTTATGTGACTTGAGTTTCCTATGCTTGTTTCTAGAAATGTGTAAATTTGCTTACTGTGAAAGAGAATTGAATTAGTACCAGTTTGTCAGGAAACATCCCAAAAATGATACTATACCTTTAATGAGAAGGCAATATTGTGTTCAAACCAAAACCAAAACAAAAATAAAAGTGGCATAGTTAAAACACATTTTTTTTTAAAATGTCAGGAAATACAAATATTAAAGTTCTTCTGTCAAAATTAATTCAGACATGTTGCACATCTTGTGTACTGGATGGTACACATGTAGAAAACGAAACAGAAGTTTCATAATCTGCATATGAAACAGAAAAAAAAAGAATAGGAGTTACATACAATTATGTGCAACATGGCATCATAAACATTGCTGGGGGGACTTTAATTTTTGCTTTTCTTGACTTTTCTTTAATTAATTCTACAACATCAGCGTTAGAAGTTTTCTGTATTTATTGTAATTTGGTTTACTTGGAGTGTTGTGGAAACCACCTTTGTAGAAAAGCTTTTACACTGTTATCTATTGGATCAACTAACTTGCCGTGTTCCTGTTAACAGACCTCAGTCCTGCAACATTTACGCATGTGCTTAAATTTATGCAGGTGATTAATGCCAGTTGATGTCAATTGGGATTACTGACATATTTAAAGTTAAGCACATTTGTAAGTATTTGCAGGATCACAGCCTGAACCAAAACCCAGAGGATCTGATCTCTCCTGAGCTTTTGAGAAAATTCAGATTTGTCTCTGAATTCAGAATCGGTGTCTTGCCTCTTCTCTATACTAAATAAACTGAACCAATCCCTTGTCTCACTCACCCATGAACTTCAAATCCAGATCCAAATGTTTGTGGTTCCAGCTGAATTTTGCTTTTGACTTCTGCTGTCTGCATAGGAAAATCCCAGTCTCTACAATGTGAGACTGAAATGCAGAATGTGGGTTTTATAGATGCAACAAAGGTATGTACTTGCCAAATATCACTGTGTCAGAGTTTATCAAGTGTGGCCCGAAAGCCTGAACTGGAGAGCAATGGGTTTCTTGCCTCAATTTCCCAAAAATGTTACTGTGCTCAACGATAACGTATGGCCAGAGAAACAATGGGGAATAAGACATTATTAGTTTGTGTTTTTTGTGCTTGTCCAACAACATCAACCACAACTAAAGCACTGATTTAAAAATGCATTTTGGAAAGCAATCAGTTCTGAATTTAGTTTAATAACTTTCTGCATTTTAAAAAGGCAAATTAAAGTGTGTGTGTGATAGTTGACATTAAGGGACAGTTTGTGGCCAGGTGTGGCAGAGTACAAATGGTTTGAGAGGGTATAAGTAGCTTTTGGCACACAGCAGCCAACCACAACTGTATATTTAGTGCAAGGACTACTTCTGGCTAATGCCATCCCAAAAGATCTTTAAACCCTGCTGCTTATAGAGGGGTAGAGAACATGGGTGCTTCCCAAGATAACAAAAGATGGCTCTTTGTCCCTCTCTAGTGGCTAGATGTTTATGAGGCTGTTACAAAGCCTCTGGGCTAACAGCCTTAATTCTCCAATTGCTGCCTCATTTGCATTACCACCCGGAGAGAGACCATCTGGGAGGCTTGAACCCAGAACAACCTCTGAATTTAAAGGTGGGGACCCCTACTGCTTGAGCTAAGGAAATGTGTCCCTTAACTTAGAGACAATAGTAGCAGATCCATAAACTTCTACACACGGTTTAGCCAGCATAGGGGGAACAGAGACTTTCACTCGGTTAATGTGGGTGACACGCTTCCACTAGCTGAAGAATTTGTGTAGACACAATGATCCCTATGCTCCTGTCAGGGGCGGCATTCTGGCGCCGGCCATGCTGCCCCTAAAAATGTGCCGCCCCAAGCACCAGCTTGTTTTGCTGGTGCCTAGAGCCGGCCCTGGCTCCTGTGAGGACAGTCTAGCTCCTGTGTGGCCTATCACAGAGCTATTGCTCACATTAACAATTTAGTCCTAAGAAATGTATAATAATGGGTTGTGTTGCAGTCTATTGGGTAAATATGTGAGTTTCAAACTCTTAAACAAAAATTCAATATGCAGCTTATCTATGGTGAAAAATGCTTCTTACCAGGTACATTGCTGAACAAAGCAGGCGCAGCTGCCTTTTAAATGTTTTAAAGTACAGATTTCCATGATACCAGAGGAGCAGTCATGATTTATCAAGTAAATAATCCCTTACAAATACTCCAAGGCAATATGCTCTGAAGTCCACATTTAAAGCTACAATTTCAGTGAGTCTCTTCTTATGACCAGGCTAGCTGGAAATACACATTACAGAGTTCCATCTTTTTTAATTTCCATGCGTCAGAGTGTATGGATCAAGTGAAGCTTTAAGAAAAAAAAACCTATATAAATAAATATAGCCCAGCTATAAATATAAATGGCATTATTTATTACAAGCAGGGGGATGAATTACAATGGAGAAATAAAGTAGTAAGAAAACATATGTGGGATCACTTGAGGGGAAAATCCCATCGACGAGCAATTTTTGGCCGTGCACTAGTTAGTCTCCTTAAGGAAGCAGTAGATGCCTCTTAATTTGATTCACTTCAAACTGAATCAGAGAAATTTTTCAGATATATAGTGGAGAAGAATCCTACATTGTCTGGACTAGGTGACCTTATAGGTCTTTTCCATCCCTAACTTATATGTATTAAAGAAAGCTCCACTATCCTCTTACATAAAATATATTTGGGGGGTTGGCAGAATAAACTGTATTTGGAGTTGATTTATTCTTTTAACAGGTTCCACTAAAGTGAGTCGTGTTTAATGAATACCAATTAATATAAGAGTTTCTCGTGCCAAATTCAGGTTAGAATGAATAAATTAAATCATGCATAAAGCTCAGAAATGGAAAAGATGAGTCTGTGGTTGCTATCGGTTCTTCTTCTAAATATGAGATCATTTCTCCCAGTAGTATTGATGGGAATTTCTCTTGCATACAGACTGCAGGATTGGGCTTGTGGTGAGAAATAAAGGGGATGAAAAAGAATAAAATAGCAGAAAAAGGATTAGATGTTATTCTAAGGTCTTCGGGACAGGAACTGTCTTTTTGTCATTGGTTTGTACAGCACCTGGTGCAACAGGGTCCTGGTCAATGACTGGAGCTCCTACATGTTACCACAATTCAAATAATAAATAATTATTATCTCTATGTCAGTAAAGATGGCCAAATATTTATAAATCTATTCACCTCAATCCACAAAATCAATCCATGAAATCAATGGGAACTGATCAGGTCATGCATTGCTTATATTTGTTATATATTATTTATGGCCCCAATCTTACAAACACTTATGTATGTGCTTAACTTTAAGCATTTGAATAGTCTGATTGAAGTCAACAGGATTACTCATGTACTTAAATGTATGTAGAATTTGGCCTTTGCTGAAAAAAGAACTGATTCTGGGAACATTTGCTACTCTGCATAGAACCAAAGACTGTGAATTCAAGGGACTGTTTGTGACAGTCTTTTGCTCCATGGTAAGTGCTTGCGGGAAATAGGGTTGCCACCCCTCCAGGATTTTCCTGGAGTCTCCAGGAATTAAAGATTAATCTTTAATTAAAGCTTATGTCATGTGATGAAACCTCCAGAATACGCCCAATCAAAATTGGCAACACTAGCGGGGAAGCACCCTAAGATTTTTACAGTTACTGCAGAGACGAAAAACTATAGAAATGCCTATAAACTACTAAAATAAATAAATAATGAATATATTCATTATGTGTGTATTCTTAGAGCATACATATACCCCAGTCATTAATACCTGGAAGGGATTGTTAACTTACAGCCGCTGATATCTTTCATCATGTAAACATTACTATAATGAAAAACTAGGGTGCTCTCTTACATACCTTCAGAAATATAATTTACCACATTTTTGCAGTCTAAGTATGTTTGGGGTTGGGGGGGGGGACTTTTTATTCATTGGGCGTTACGCTATGGTTTGTTAACTAATATGAATTAATGGGAGTAACGGCTAAATTACATTTTGGTCATTTTGCATGAATAACATTGTATTAGCATAAATTCCAAGTTGTAATTTTCTAGGCATGCTTTTGGATGTACTTAACTGACATATGAGATTAGTTAGAGACTTTAAAATGACAGTGAGTCATTCTTTGCTAAAGAGTTGTTAATTCTTTGTCATATAATTACAGGTAACTACATTGTTTTCTTTCTCTCACAAAAATGTGACAGAAAGCCCTGCACGCCTCTAAGTCAGCACAAATCCAGTCAGGGAACCTTCCTTTCTGTGTCTTGAAACTATGACAGCAGCATGTTCCATGCCCGCTGGAAAGTATTTATGCCCAAGGGCAGGGGAAAATATACATGAAAGAAGGTCTGTAATCATACTGCCTTTCATTTTGTTTAATCTAGTTATGCCACGTTTTGCTGAACAAGTTGAGGTTGCCATTGAAGCTTTGAGTGCGAATGTCCCACAGCCATTTGAAGAGAATGAATTCATAGATGCCTCCCGCTTGGTTTATGATGGAGTTCGTGACATCAGGAAAGCTGTTCTGATGATAAGGGTATGTAAGGCACCTGGGAAATAAAAGTTGGTGCTTAAAGGAAAGTATCATAGAAGACGAGAGGAATATAAAAGCTGCCTGGCACCTACATTGTTTTATAATCAAGAAGAATCAATTGACATGGAAATAAATGTAGAACAAATGTTTGTACAGCAGAAAGATCTTGTTAGTAAAGAGATTAGATTATTGTAACACTTGTATGTGAGTCTGAGGTTTGTAAAAGTTAAGGAGCAGTAGCAGAGGCTACAGCCGTATGTCGCACTACTAGGTTCCACAAATAGCTGTCTGTGTACCTTTGTAACCTATTGCACCCTATTGTTCTAGTCTATGGCCTCATTAGAACAGATGTTGATATTTGACGTTGCGTAGGTTTTAGTTTATGTAGCTCTGTGTTCCCAAGGAAACAGGAAAAGATGCACCAAAGATACTTTTGTTAATTACCCAGGGTAAGATTTGATCACATTTCTCTGTAGATGCAAGGCCTAGTACAACAGAATTATTTCAGTGTTAGTGCAACTGTTTTGTTAAGAACTTAATTGTTTGCATGGAATATTTTATTGCTAATCTCTGCGTGCATCTAGGTGAATGAGGTAGGTATTGTTAATTACTAAATGAGTAAATTAAATACCTTGCTGCTCCACAGAGCTTCCAAAAGGATGGTTTTAAATGTTCATGCAGGTAAAGAAAGTGCCATTTGAATGTTGACTAGCCAATTGATTCAATTTGATCAGGCTTCCTTTGTATGAGCAACACACTAATTCAGAGAATAGGTCTGCCTAGTTCTTCAGTGTCACCACAGCCACGTCGTAAAGAGCCTGGCCCTAAGAACAACTGAGCTCCTGTTTGTGAACAATGGGATGTGTGGCTTCGTAGGATCAGGCCTCAGGCCCAGTGAAAGCCGTGCAAACAGAGCAGCAGTGAAAACACTTCGAAGAATCTGAAACAGTAAAATAAAAAAAAATCCCTATTTAAACAACTGGCAGTGTTGAAACAACAGCCCTCACTTAGAGCGGCTTTCAGCAAGCTGGTAACCATGCTTGGTGGCTGTGACTATCACATGGCGCTGATGAAAACTCTGGAAGGATTGGGGACAGTCAGGTTTTTTTTTAATTCATCTGCCACTATCTGCTACAAATGCAACAAAAGCTATTTAGACGCTCAACTTTATATTTGCAATGCATTTAGGTTCTGTTCCAGTGCTTAGTGTCAAACTGGGAATGCAGGCTTGCAGAGGCAATCCTCCTCCTAACAACAGGCATAGGCAACCCCATCACATGAGAGGGAAACTAGAGGATGCTTATTTTACAGGATCAGACCACCTCTGACTGTCCTCTTTCCCCTTGTATAAGCTGACACAGATATCAGGCCTTTCAGCTACCCCCTGCAGAAGCCCCTGGATTCCAGCTCCTCCCCTTGCACATCAGGACTATACCAGATGTGTTACCAAGGCCACCTGCACTCCTACAGTGGAAAGGGCTAGATTTTTTCCTAGCAGTAAAACACCATTTTTAATTCTGGATTCGCATCATATTTATTTTTTTTCCTTATTACCCTATTGACATGTTAACCACTAGCCTGGAAAGCTGATCAGCATGCAGGTCTTGTGAGCTCTATGAAAATATCCCAATTTACATTTTCAATTGTATCATTCTGCTGCTTTTCAGTGCTGCATGTAATCTGAGCTGGTGAATGCTGCAGAGGCACATTATGAGGTCAGGGTAAAAACATCCTTCCAAACATTAACAAATATATGGAACCTGATGGGCATTCCTCAGTCAGGCAAAACTCACACTTGTTTTGTCAGAGCAAAGACGGAGGGATGGGTAGATTATTTTGCGAGTTCAATGGGGCAACTCAAAGACAGAAATTTACATGGGTCCATCTTTGCAGGAGCAGTCTTACTTATAGCAATAGTGGGTACAAAATGTCAGACAGAAATGTGATTTTCAGTCTGAACAGTTTCTCTTTAGCATACCCATCCAACCTACTACAAGGTAGGAGAAATTGACTTCTGTAAATGCTATTGGGTACTGGCAGTGCTAATTTTCCCACACTGCATTGCTTGGTTTGCTTCATTTATGACATGAGGAGTCCATCTATATGAATAAAGGGGTAATTTAGTCATCAGTCTTGACCTGTGCTGAGATTGCCAACAATGAGATAGTAGGATTTTCTTGTAAATTTACCTGACCTTTAGGTACCAAACAGATACATTCCAAACTATTATATAATAATGACAAGAGATCCAGAATCCAATAATAATAGTAAGAGATACAGGACCATGAAAATAACCTTGTATTGCAATTAAATGGACAGTTATGAAGGCTTACTTTAAAAACAATCTCTGAAGTATTTCTACCCAGTGATGAAGTTAGTCTCACATACCCCTCTGATTTGTGCTTTAAACCTTCTCCCAGGATTAAAATGACTTGTAATCTTGTCGGAGCATCTGACAGAAAAAATTATCATTCCCACAGTAATTGTTCATGTGCATGTCACAGAAGAATGGAATTTTCTGATAGTCGTCTCATTCCATGGAAGAAATAAATCCAGTTCTTTTAAACTAGTTTTTCTTTGTATTACTGGTTTTAATAAACTAAAGAAAGGGAAAGAAATCTTTTTTTGCTTTATTGTCCTTATGGAAGAGAAAAGAGAACCATTATACTACTGGGGAATATTAATATAGTTGGTATAGAAAAAAATCCTTCTTCCAAGCTTGAAAAAATACTGATGGTAGCATATATGTAGGAATACAATTATGGTAGCTAAAATGAAGATAGAAAATAACTTAATTCAGCCATCTATCACTGTCTAGGGATCCTGTTACATATTGGTTTTTTCATAGCTACTTATGAGTTTTCCTTAGTTATGGGAATGAAACCCATTGTACGGTTAGCAACTGCCACGACAGCATCTTTTTCATGTTTGAGTGGCCAGGAGGTTGAGTCTTTTGCTCTCAAATGGGAGTCTTTCGCAATCATCCGTGCCGTTGTTACCTCAAGATTAGATTACTACAATATGCTCTGTGTGCGGCTACATCCTAAATATATTTGGAAATGGAGCTGGTGCAGAATTTGATCACCAGCTTTTTAAGCTGTGTGTCTGTAAGCATATTACACCAGCGTTCTGTGATCTGTATTGGCTACCTGTTGGTGTCCAGGTTGAATGTAATGTGTTGGTTTTGACCTAGAAGACTCTAAATAGCCAAAGATCTGTTGTGAGACTGCCGCTCTCTCATTGCCAGTCAGGTAATGTTGCAGTCAGCAAAGGTGCTGCTAGCAGGACATTCTCTATTAGGACCTCTCAGTTATGGAACTAGTCCCCTCTTGGTCCAAAATACTGCAGATTTGACCCTCCAAGGAATGCTCCAAGAACTTTGTATTCCCCCTAGTTTTTGGAGAGTAGGAAGAATTCTGAGGGTGTCTGGTTATTGATGGGAGAATAGAGTAATTTATTTTTTGTCTTTCTTTTTTTCTTGTTAGGAGGGTTAGACTGGCTTGTTGGAGTTATAGCAATGCTGGATTTGTTATAATAATTGCATTTGTTATAGTTGTCAAATACATATAAAACTATGGCTGGGTGGTTCTTTTATCTTTATAAAATATATTTAAACTGATAAAAAACCAAACAACCCTTTCAAATCTGCTCATATAGACTTTTTTTTTTAATCTTCTGATGGATGCACAATTTTTCCCTCTGGTTTATGGTGGGGCCACATGGAAGGTAGAACAGACTTATATTGCTGAAGATTATTTTGCTTCCGTTGCAGTTTGGTAATGTAGCCTGATCTTGCTTTCCCTGCCCCCAACGATTGATGCAACTTGGACTTAATATGGGTGTCTTACTGGTGCCTATAGTGTAACCCACACACCTTCTGGGTGTGGTGCTCTGTCCAATCTAGTGGCACTTAAATGAGACCACTCAGAAACCACTTAGAGAGAGATAAAATGAGTCTGTTCTACAGCCTTAGCTAAGAGCCAGTTGGCTTTTAGCTCATGCAGTAGAGGCTCATGCACTAAGATCCAGAGGTCTCAAGTTCGATCCTGACAACTGGAGTCTGTTATTATTAGAATAGCAACAGGTTCAAATCCTTACAGAATTTAATCAGTCCTTCATTCTTCCAAAGTAGATTAATTAAATTCCCGACACTGTTGTGAGCCTTGGAGATTAGATTTTAAAAACAAGATCCTGTCTGCTGTGCACTGACATTAAAGACCCCATGATACTTTTTGTAAGACCCTGTGTAAGGAGTGTACTTTAAAAGTCAAAGTCTGTGTTATATAAAAGTGTGGTTTGTATCCCTGTGCCTTGTCTCCAAGCAAATTGAAGAGATAGTTAGCATTCAGGGGTATACTTAAGAGATCAGGCTGTGGGAAAGCAATGTTGCAATAGTAAATTACAACCTAAAGAGTGAGCTGATGAGTCAGTTTTAGGCCCCAATTTTCAAAAGTGCATTCACCCTTTTGTGCATACCTGACGTGGTGGGTGTGAAGTTGGGCACATGCAAAAACGTGCAGGCAAATTTCAAATGTGGGCCTAAAACTAGCTGATCGCTACTGTTGATCTTAAGGCGGAAAAGAATCCGCTTCGGAAGAAAATGAGGACATTTCATCCTCCAGAGTTAAAAACCCTTAACGGAAAATGGGATGGATGTGTAAAGCTAGCTTGGGGCTAGATCTGAGCTGTGCATGGAGGAGGTATTTAGGTTCCATATAACTACTGTAGAATATTGTTACACAAAAATACCTCTATTAAAGTGTCCCTTGTTTTTCATGACTAGGGTTCTTTTTCGGGGGGGAGGGGAGGTTGTTTTTTTTAAGCCTACCACCTAAACCAAATTGGATGTTTTCCCCTCTTTTGAGTATTGTGGTGTGTAAGACAGCAAATATCAGATATTAAAGCAACGGCTGTGTTTTCTTTCAGAATGCTTTCTTAGGCATAAGCCACTTAAATGCTGAGCTTCCTGAGTATGCCTTACCTCTTTCACAGACTTCCTCCTGTGCCCTAAATTGATGTCATTTGTCCACATTGTTTTGATTGATCTCCCAGGCTGTTCTCTCAGGGCTAGATTATCACAGCCCTTTCTTGGCTGCATAGGGTAGTTACAAGACCCCCTTACTACCCTCCTCAGATTGCAACTTTGGCTGTGGGTGGTAGAGGAGAGACTAATTGCCCAGTATGGTCACCTGTGAGCAACTGGGAGTAGAGGGAGTTGAGAGGAGCAGGAATGAGGAGGAACTCTGGCTCCGCCCTCTATTTGACAGCTACAATAGCTGGCTGAGTGCATGGTGCATGTGAAATAAATTGATTCATGAAAAGCACTTAGAGCAAGGGGCGAGCTGATGAATAGCTGGACTCTGAAGTACAAGTCCTTCTCTGGTTTGCTCCTGGACTGGCTCTGCTACACACTAGGCAGATTTTAATGTCACGGTCTAGCTGTTAGGCAGTTGAGAGATGACTGTAGCACATACAATGGAGGTATTAAGAGAACCATACAGCGGGATGTTATAATGATGGGTAGCCGTCAACAATTTCCCCAGTAGTAGAAAAGAAAAGAATTTATATTTTTCACCTCCACTTTATCTTCTGTCTAACCTGTTACATGCACTAATTGTACATGCATCCCTTTAGTGATTCTGCCAGCGTTTCATTTCCATACTGTCATACTTTGTTATTTCTTCCATCAGAGCTCAATGTCAAAACTCATATTTAATTCACACTCTATAAGTCAAGTGAAGACGGCCCCATTTCCCTCTTCTTGTCATGTGCACATAACCATATAGGAAGCACAATCACAATCAACCTATGGAACTCCTTGCCAGAGGATGTTGTGAAGGCCAAGACTAAAACAGGGTTCAAAAAAGAACTAGATAAGTTCATGGAGGATAGGTCCATCAATGGCTATTAGCCAGGATGGGCAGGGGTGGTGTCCCTAGCCTCCATTTGCCAAAAGCTGGGAATGGGCTACAGGGGATGGATCACTTGATGAATACCTATTCCGTTCATTCCCTCTGGAGCACCTGGCATTGGCCACTGTCGGTAGACAGGATACTGGGCTAGATGGACCTTTGGTCTGACCCAGTATGGCTGTTCTTCTGTTCTTAACTGACAATGATTAGCACCTCTGCTGGCAGTTGCAACAAGGCCGCCAAGCATTGAATATATTAATGTGGACACTTTCTGCCATAGAGGTGATACCTCCAGGTTAAAAGATGAGTAGAGCCCTGCAGATATCTGCTTTATATGTTTCCGGATAGCGGATGGATGCGGATCCAAATTCTATATCTAGAGCCCAGCAAATCTGCAGATATCCACTTTACATCAGCAGATCATGTTTGTGGCTCACGGATACAAATTTTATATCCATGCAGGGCTCTAAAGATGAGCCATATTTATAGGGCAGTGAGGGGAAGATTTCACCAATGACACCTGTGATCTCTCTGTTCTGTAGAATCATAGAATCATAGAATATCAGGGTTGGAAGGGCCCTCAGGAGGTCATCTAGTCCAACCCCCTGCTCAAAGCAGGACAATTCCCAACTAAATCATCCCAGCCAGGGCTTTGTCAAGCCGGGCCTTAAAAACCTCCAAGGAAGGAGACTCCACCACCTCCCTAGGTAACGCATTCCAGTGCTTCACCACCCTCCTAGTGAAATAGTGTTTCCTAATATCCAACCTAAACCTCCCCCGCTGCAACTTGAGACCATTGCTCCTTATTCTGTCATCTGAGAACAGCCGAGTTCCATCCTCTTTGGAACCCCCCTTCAGGTAGTTGAAGTAGTTATATTGTTATTATGATTGTTTATTTGGATAGGGCAGCTCCTAGCAATATTATTAACTGCTCAATATTGTCCAATATATTGTTACATATTGGTATTGTTAACATATTAATATTAATAATGTACTGATATATTTTTTATTTAGTCATTGTGTTCCCCCCCAAACTACAATACAAGAGCACCCATCCAATGCAAAACCATTGTAAAACTACACTAATAAATAAGTAGACCCACTAGATCAAAGGACCTAGTGACAACATAAATAGAACAAAAACTAATTGGTTTCCCCACGCAATCCCCAACAGAGCTCGCACCACCACTGCCCAGCCCTGTCCAACACCCAATTCTCTTGGGCAAGGGAGAAAAGGTGTATCTCACAGCCCGCCCTGAAAGCTAACAATCTTTCACTCAATGGGCCTGAGGAAGAAATAAGTTACAAAGGCCTGGGACTATGCAGAGTGTTTAGTTTCCATCACCACCAAGATGGCATGTTTCAAAATGTTATACCTGCTTTAAAAATAATTGACCAGATCATCTACATTTCCTTTGAGGGGGAGCCCTGCATTTGCTTTGAGGACTTCTCTTTTTTCTACCAGTCTGTCGGTTACCTTTTCCCAGGTACTTACTTTCTCTCTTGAAGATTATGCAGGGTGTTCTGGCACTCTAATAGTATTAGTCTCCCTTTATAGACCAATTAGCATTATTTTGAAATAGTGCATTTCGGCGGTGAATACATCCAAAAGATATGCATTCATGAGACCGCATTCATCATGTTAACCGAGTTAAGAGAAATCACAGCAAGGCGATGATGAATGTCGTTGGTGAAAGAAGCCAGAGTTGGAACAACTTAATTTTGAGGACAATTCAATTTCAGGTCCTGACTGCCTGGGCAGCCAAGTTAATTTAAAAGAAAAAAAGAAACAACGTTTCCTGGGCAGGTAGTCGATGAAATAAGAACGTACTGTACGCTGGAGTTTGTCTGTATCTTTTATAAGCCCATCATCACTCCCTCCTCCTCCTCTCTATTTCTCTCTCTTTTTCTAGACCCCTGAAGAGTTAGAGGATGATTCAGACTTTGAACAAGAAGATTATGATGTTCGCAGCCGAACGAGTGTTCAGACTGAGGATGACCAGCTTATTGCCGGGCAGAGTGCAAGGGTGAGTATAAAATCCACGTACCCCATCAACTCTGTATACAGCTCCAAATGAAAAGGTATGCCTCTGAAAGCTAATTGGGCGATTTTAAATTTTTGGGTTCACTTCAGCAAGGAGGCTGGCAATTTTGGTTTTCAGGCATAGATATTTATTTAGGTCTTTTCGCTTGCAGTACATTTGGACCAAGTTTATTATATGATTTTGTCAGGGTTATGTGATGTCTTGTATTGGTTATTTGCTCAAGCTAGAACTATAGCAAAAGGCCTTGCACATTTCGAATGTACTGTAGCTAAGAGTATTCAGGAAATTTAAAACAAACAAACAAACCTTAAGGGCATAATGTGCACTATCTGAAGATATCTTACATTTGTCATGTTTCTCAGTGTGCTGACGTGTCTAGGGAAGGTGTTTAAGGTGCTGAGTAGTCTCTGTAATCTAATTGTAATTGAGGATATTTGTTACTGAGTCAATGTAATTTTACCAGCGTAATTATATCATGATAAACTGGAGACATTGTGATTTGTGACCTCAGCTTATGCACGGCGATTGCAAATGAAGCGGACAAGTGCTTCAGGGGTCAGAGATGCTGGAGAAATGAAGTTGGTTGACCCTCAGGATTATTCCATCTTCTGATTAATGTTTACCTTTTGCTAAGTAGGCTGCTCAGTTCAGATAAGAAATCAAGTGAATACTGTGTTGTTAACACACCACATGAACATGTATTTGACTGGAAAGAGAGTTTAAAATCCTCCCTTTTTTTAACCTGGTACAGAAGCAGTGGAGAGAGATTGTGGAGAACCAGGAAAATATCTGTTTTATTTTTATGACTATTGTGCATGCCTCTATATATTTGTTTATGGTGGGTTACTTACTCTTCAGATAGATGAGCTATTAGGGGAACCAAACTGGAAACACAATAGCTTAGATGGGGAGCATCCCCCAAAACACCATAACACCGTAGCCAGGTTGACTACAACAACTTCTTGGTCCCAACCCTGCTTAGCTGTTTGCCAAAGCTGAGAATCTGGAGAGCAAAAGATGTTGAAAGGAAGGGGGAAGCTCTCAGCTGCTGCAGGCTGACACAGAGTGAAGGAGGAGCAGGGTCTGCAGCAAGCAGGCTGTAACTTGGTCCCCAACAGAACAGAGGCACTGAGGTTATGTCATGTCTACCTTGAAGGGAATGCCAAATGTAGGGAAAATAGTCTGCACACAGAGCTCTTTGTTGTTTTATATCCATGTCTCAGTGCTGTGAACCTTTTGGCAAATAAATCTTACTTTTAAAAAAAAATAAATTGCTTCTGGGTCACTGCATGCTATTGCTGTCCACAGGGTCCTGGCAGGTGCCAAACCCATTAGGCCTGCTAGGTATCGTGGTTGGTAACCAGGAAGTTTGGATCCCAGAGACCCTGTCAGAGAGTGGTCAGATCACAGGAGAGGGAGAGGCACAGACCTGTCACTTGAAAGGGGAGCACTTAGGGGACTGGCAAAGGGTCTCAGAAGAGGCAGCCTGCCCAGGAACCCTGGCAGATATATCGGAGAGGATTTTATGGTTTAAAGATGCATGTTTGATCCATGCAGAAAGACTGAGTGCTGAAATAAACGAAAGTGTAAAAAGTTTCCTGGTGCTCTTCAGTTGATTCCGATTCTGTCCTTATTTCTTTCATGGCTCAACCTGGGGCAGTGGGATCATGCTGCTCTTTCAGTAATTAAAATTAGAATTAAAAAAATAGATTTAGCTGAAGAGAAATAGGGACAGTCACAGCATCTTTATTAAGGGCCTAATCCAGCTAGCAGCGGAATAATCTCAAATCCTATTGTGGTTATTATTGTGGTTGTCAATTGTGGTAGGTGCTGGACAAAAATATAACAGACCGTCACTGCCCCAAAGGGCTTACAGTCTAAGTATAAGACAGGAACCAATGGGTGGATACAGCAGCATCAGAAGGAAGACAGGGTGAAAATGAGATGATTATGATCAGTGTGATAAGCCGCAAAAGCCACTGTGTTGAGTGACCCCTTGAGCTGAAGCTACTCAGCGAGGCGCTCCGGAGGCTCCTGAGATGTAGAGGGGCCACTGGTGCCCGAACAGTGACTCCATCCCCCAGCTCCGCCTCTTTCCCTGGGGCCTCATCCCCAGTCCCCTGATGCTCTGCCCTCGTTTTGCCTCTTCCCGAGGCCCCGCCCTCTCTCTGCTTCTTCTCCCGAGGCCCCACCCCCACTCTGCCTCTTCCCCCAAGGTCCCGCTCGCTCCTGTCTGCCCCCTCCCACCCCCGTCACTCACTCTTAACGCAGGATAATAGTGATGGGGCAATGGCCCCCTGGACCCTCCTCTTCCAGCACCCCTGTACTCAGCCTCTTGGAGGATCGTGCCATACAGGACTCCTTGTTGGAGAAAAGCTAGGTTTTTAGTTAGAGGCTATAATAGATTTGTATAATATGCCTACTTCATAAACTCTATTAGCATTTCAATGGAAAGGCTTGGTGTCTGTCTTTGACGAGAGATAAAACTTGAATATACAAGCTGCATTTGCTGCTGGGTATGGCTCCTTAGAAATGCATCAGCAACTGAAAGAGAGTCATTAAGACATACTGGACCAGTACTAGGAAAATCAGGTTAGACTGTCCACAAAGACAGGAACCAAACACAAGTAATACAGATTGGCCTTCTTAGCTTTCTGATCATACCGAACTTTATTTTCACATCCATTAGTTACAATGAATTCATCAGTTCTAGAGTGTTTAGAGGGGGCTGGGGGTGGGGGGGGAGAAAGAGAGAGAGTTTAACTTACACTGCATTTCTCTGTGGAAAGACTAATGTGTTAACATTTGAAACCGCTGAGTTACATTGATAAGGCCTAATTAAAACTCATGTGTTGAATTTTAATATGATTAACTTGCAAATTTCTCATTTTCTGATCTCCTGTTTATAGATAACCTTTTTTAATTCCAGTTTTGGAAAAGGTCAATTATGAATTTTTAAAAGCCAAGAGCATTTTAAGGATATGTAGAGAAAGGCTTCAGCTGATTGAAAGTGACATAAACAAGAAAAAATGTAATGACACTTAAATGTGTCACACCCCATTAAATGCATAATGCGGTCTTCAGAACCCCGAAGCCAAATAGTATCTCATCTTGAAAATCATTGTTGGAAGTGTCCGTTTGATCTTCAAAAGTAACTTTCATAATTTTGCCATTTTTTTGGTAATTTTCCTTTTCCTTTGTTGATAGTCCAGGCAAATTAGAATCAACCTATTTAGTGCCATTTTGCATATCATCCAAGAACCAATTAAACCACTAAATGTTATTGAAAGGTACGTTCATTCAGTTCATTTTAAACATATTCCCTTGCATGTCATGGCTTATTTCAACCTCAAGTTAAGTAGAAAGCCAGGGTGTTTCTGACTGACAGTGAGATATGAGAGAGGTGGAGGTGTTTGAAGCTTTGCCAAACTACGGGGCTGCCTCTTAGTGTGTATTTCATTCATTTTTGATCTGTCTAAAGTTTCAGATATAATAAAAAAATCCTGTCTTTTAGTTGGATTGTAGTGGCTTCTGCCCACTCTCTTCAGTCTACAATGTCATAGATGTACAGTCTTTAAACTTGCAAAGATTTTATAAGGACTATAAAAGTCCCTTGTTTTACAAGAATATGCTGTAGTTACTCTTGAAATAGCTGATATAGTGAAAACAAAATTTGGACCATGTTATTAAATGTATAGGCTTTAATTTAAAAAATGTTTAATAGTGTGGCTGCTCTGACAGTGAAGTCAGTACTAAAGACCAACTCTAAAAGGCCACCCCTGTTTTAAGAGACCATTCTGAAGCACACCTGTGAGGTTTCCAGTTCAGTTTTGCTTGTCATGTGGTTATGCTATAACTTATACTAAACAATCTGGTCCACTTAAGACAACTGGACTCATTTATGGCAGATTTCACTGTAGCCAGGGCCACATCCTGTGCTCGCATAAATCAGTGTAATCCGACTGAAGTGAGTAGAGCTATGTTGATGTACACCAGGTGAGGGTCTGGCACTATACACTATAAGCTTTGATTGGTTTCTGCTATTTTGTATGGAGTCCCTGTGAGTTTTTTTGTTCAGTGTGAAATTATAGCAGTGATCCTTTTCTGAAGAAATCTGTACCATTTGGCTTTACAGCTTTCAGAATTAAAATCCTATCCTAAAAAGTGCTGAGTGCCAGCTGTGATGGATTTAGCATCATCAACCTCGGAAGTTGTGGGTGCTCAACCCCTTGCCAGATTAGACCCTTAGAAACTAAGATGGTTACTAGCTCTCTTTTTGATGGGCAACTACTCTACATTTTATCCAGGCTATCATGGCTCAACTGCCCCAGGAGGAGAAGGCTAAGATTGCGGAGCAGGTAGAGATATTCCACCAAGAAAAGAGCAAACTGGACGCTGAGGTGGCCAAATGGGATGACAGTGGTAATGACATCATTGTGTTGGCAAAGCAGATGTGCATGATTATGATGGAAATGACGGACTTTACTAGGTAAGCACAAAAGAATTTGTACTGAGTGCTTCCTCTGGAACCCTGCATCATTTCTTTATTATGGCATTTAAGGAACATTGAGTGTATTTACGATGTTTAGATAATGTGTCTATAACAATTCTAATATTGCTGGTTCTATAATCGTTGCCCTGTGTATTTACCTTTTAACACAAAGGAGAGCTTCAATATTGTTTAAACACTGTTCAGCATTAAGACACTGATTCAGCAACGTACTTAATCACAAGAGCAATTCCATCCCGATTCAGCAAAGCTCCTAACCACATGCTTAGCTTTTAGGTGGGGGAGGGATAGCTCTGTGGTTTGAGCATTGGCTTACTAACCCCAGGGTTGTGAGTTCAATCCTTGAGGGGTCCATTTAGGAATCTGGGTCAAAAAAAATCTGTCAGGGACAGTAGTTGGTCCTGCTAGTAAAGGCAGGAGTCTGGACTCAATGACCTTTCCAGTTCTATTTTTCCAACAGGGGAGGGATAGCATAGTGGTTTGAGCATTGGTCTGCTAAACCCAGGGTTGTGAGTTCAATCCTTGAGGGGGCCATTTCGGGAACTGGGGTAAAAATCTGTCTGGAGATTGGTCCTGCTTTGAGAAGAGGGTTGGACTAGATGATCTCCTGAGGTCCCTTCCAACCCTGATATTCTATGAATCACATGAGTAGGCCCAGTGAAATCGGTTGCAGAGGTGCTTCCTACCAACAAGCCAGAACATCAAACAAACAGTTTTATATTTGAGACTCCTTAGGGACTTGTTGGTTGGTTTGGGGGGACATAAAGCCAGCTTACTGACATGCCCAAATAGTTCCTTTCACCTGGTTATTTTCAACAGTTCACCATTTAAGATTAAACGTGTATGTTTTTTTTGTTAGTTATTTGTGCATCTTTAATTTCAGCAGAAGTAGTGCAGCAAGGATAATGTGTGACCTGATAGGCCCTCAAATGACCTTTTGTCTAGCAAGAGTCAAAATGCACAAGTCTTGCTGAACATTGCAGTGAATGTCAATCAAAAATAATGGCAAAAAATCCACTGAACTCATTCTCATGACTGAATTTCTTTAAACAAGCAGCCCTTGATTTAATCCAGAAGTAATTTTTATCAGGATTTGTCAATAACAATGACTTTTTTCCTTGCTATAATATTTTGTTCTAATTACAGTGCATCAAAAGGCTATTAATTAATGTTATCATTTAAACAAAATCAATTTTGTTTATATCCAGCCACATTGTTAATCAGACCAGAGAGACCATTTTACAAGAGATTAAATGCACCCTCTTAAAGTTAGAGTAATCTATGCAATGCTACAATCCCTGCTATTTTGGGGGGTAAATGACCAAAAAATCCTCTCCAAAGCTCATGTTTTGGATATGTTTTGTCACACTTCTGCAAGACAAAAAACAAACAACCAAGCAAACAAAAAACCCAAACCCACTGAGGCCTTATTCTTCCTTCCTGCACTCTATAGGGAAAAAGTCATGTAGGGATCTTTCTCTAGAGAACTGAGTTTCTCTTCTCCCTACAATATGTCTAGCCCCCCCCCCCCCCCCACCTTCCATGGGAAAGGAGTGAAATTCCCCTATACCCTTCATGAGAGGGACATTAAAAAAAAATCTCTCTTTGGTCTGGATCTCTCACCTCTCTTTCCTGAAGCAGAATGAAAATTTCCCCATGCCTTGCCATCAGTTCTGGGGAGGGAGAGGTGATGATCTAATAACTTCTTCAGGGGACCAGAGTACAAAGGTTTCTCTACCACACGCTACATACATTTTAATACTGAAAGTTTGGTAATTGGGTGTTTCTAACATCAAAAGATGAGAAATAATGTGAAAATGAGAGTAAAATCACTGTCATGTTTGGGGTAAATTAAAAGAAAGTCTAAGTGGACCTTAGTGCCTCTGTTTACCCCAGATTCAATAAAACCTCCTTTAACATCTTCCACTAAAAAACAAACAAACAAACCCTTTGCATCTCCTTTGCCTACGGTGACTTCCGTGGTGTTAAAATGGAATAACTCCTAAATGTCTGGAGTGTGTTACAGCCGGATGTGCTGATCTCTTCATATAATTGACATAAAACCATAGGCGGTCACTCTTAAGGTGACTGGGACTTAGGACCAGCGTACAATTCCTGGTTCTGCCTGTGGTTTGCTGGGTGACCTAGGGCAAGTCACTTCCCCTCCTGCACCTCAGTTTCACCATGTATAAAATGGGAATAATGATGTGGACCTCCTTTGTAAAGCACTTTGGGATGTGTGAGTGAAAATCACTATAAAAGAATTAGGTGGTATCATTATTTATAAGAACTTGTGTCTTTTACATCATCTTACAAATATCAAGAGAGACAGATTAGTAGTAAAGTTTTAAAAAAAAAATCAAGCAGGATTTAAGCACAACTGAATTATGCCTCAGGTAGTTTAGCAGCTTTATGACAGAAATCTAAGAGAAGAGATTTCCTAATGTGACATTTCTGCACTAGACTTGGCAGACTTGGTGTTAAGCACTGGTTGGGGAATAACAGAATTTTTAAAAAGTTTTGTATTCCTGCAGGGACATTTTCCTAATGAGCACTTAAAAATGCACATACTATTAAACATAGTTCATGTGCTTGAAGGCACCATCAAATTAAACTGCTAGCGAGGCATTTTGTATGTGAAAGGAAATATAGCAGACCCGTTCCTTAATCAAGCTATCGTATAATTAGTAGTTAAGTCCAAGGTGAAGTTGCAGTAAATTAGGAAGGCATTCATAAAATAAATAATCATACACTGAGTTAGGACACTGCAACTGTGTCATGATTTAATTAGACTGTAGTATAACCATATTGTTCTTTCCAGAGGTAAAGGGCCATTGAAGAATACATCTGATGTCATTAATGCTGCCAAGAAGATTGCAGAAGCAGGCTCTAGAATGGACAAATTGGCACGAGCTGTAGCTGATCAGGTAATGATCCAAACAAATAAATATATAATATGAATCAGTCAATAGTGGCATTTTGTATGGACAGTACAAATTATCTGTGAGGTTTAAGGACCTTCTAGAGAAAGTCTCTACTAGTGCTGTGATCTAGTGACTGAAGAGAGGCTGTTTGTTCAGCACCAGTCAGTTTGGTAAGATCATTGTTGGTTGAATGAAGCCGACACTGCAGCCCTTTAATTCACTGGTTCAGAAATCAAACCACCTAAATAATAATAGCATCAGCTACCATAGATAAAAACACCAAGGTGAGCTGACCAGCCTCCTCGTTGTTTTCCTTACTTAAAAAGGGATTATGCACACCCTTCTGTATTTGATGCATGTACCTTTCACACTATGGGAAATCTGTAAACTAGTCTAAGAACCCCAGAAAACCCCAGAAGGTACAATGGTCCCATGTCTTCATCTGGAACAAACGAATGCTGGCTACAGATGATGATTGTAGTAGAATGTGGATGGCTAAAAGCAATAAAAAGGTCACACTCTTTGTTGCTTCAGTAGGCCAAGCCCATTGCACATACCAGGGCTCCTTGCATTTCTCTATTCTCCCCTCCCCCCCGACTCCCTGTGCACCCCACTCCCACCCCCCTCTATTTCAGGGATCCCATGCAACCCCACCCCTACCCCTTCCTCATGCCAGGGATTCTGTGTGCCCCTGTTCCCCTTTTTGCCACATTCCAGGAGCTCAGTGTTCACTCCAGGTCTCTATCCCTCATTCCACTGTCCCCAGTTCTCCCTCAGTGCCAGGGAATCAATGTTCCCCCTCATTCACTCCTTCCTCACCATACCCCCCTTATCCAACATGGCAGTGGCTCCATGTGCCTCCCCATCCCCCCATCCACCATATGTCAGGGGTTCTTGTGTCCCCCCATGTCCAACCCCATACCATTGTCCCCTATTTTCCAGCCATGCCATGGCACTGTATGTGTCCCCGTGGCTCATGGCCCCATTCACTTCATACTGGGACCCCCATTTTAGGGGCTCTTTGTGTGCCCCCTTTCCCACACCATTCTCTTTACTTGTCTGTCTGTCTGGGAGATAAGTCATTCAGGATGTCAACTTTTTAAACTGTATTGGGCGGATGGGCGAAGCTGAGATAGGAAGTATTGGTATGTTGGCTGCCAGAAACCAGTTCTTTGCTTTATTGACAATTACAGAGGTGGTCGACACTGCTGTGCCTGCTAACCAGATGCAGAGGTCTTCGTGAGTTGCCCATTAGCCCCTTCCAGTTTTCCAAATTTCACCAAAACCAATGAGTTCCGTCCACTGATACCTAAACAATTCCCTGAAAATTTGGAATGGATGAGATGTGACATTCAAAAATGATTCCATTACAGACAGACAGAGAGACAGAGAAATGCCCCCAAGGGAAGAAGGACCTGGATCATCCACTCCCATGGAAAACCCATAGGAGGGGGTTGTAGGTGAGGAGGATATCCTCACAGATACCCTCCCTAATCACCCCCCTCCAAACCTGCAGCTGTGACCTCTAGCCATCCTTCTCTTCCCCTTAAAATGGGAGAAAGTCTGCTGGTCACAGGAATTCTAACGTATCCATGGAGAGTGGGAATAGCATTAGTTTCATCCTGCAAGATACTCTGGGCCAGAGTTGCACACAGAGATGCAGCTTTTTCCTATAATCCCCAAAAGTCTGGCAATGTGAACTGTTCCACCCAATTGGTCCATTTCCTCCTCTTGAGCCCACTCCTGCTGGATACATCTTAGGAAGGAGAAATCCATCCCAGTGTTAATGTAATTCCCACTGTTGAAAGAGCTATAAACATGCTCGTTAATGATCTTGCAGTTTGCACTCTGGTGTTGTGAGAGGTGGCAGAGTTTAAAGAAATAAATGTCAGGTACATAACACACGCAGCTTGTTTAGAGAATATTGGTTTCAGTCATGTCTTTGATCTACATTCCTTCAGAAGGATGTAAAATACAAAGTTTAAAGTTTTTTTTTTTAAATCAATATGAGAGTTAGATGTCTCTTTTAATCCCTTGGCCGTGGTGATATTTTACAGAACTTTTGAGACATACATGGAGTATAAACTTTTTATTGACTGTTACATTTTTAATTACTGTTCCAATGAGAGAGAGCTTGCATCTTAATTTCATTCAAGGTACTTGTATGTAAAGCTTTGTCAGCTCTCTAGAGGTATCATTTTAAAGTTCATTTCTTTCAGCTCATAGGCCTCACGAGCAGGATAAATATTACTGTATTGAATTGTCACAAGTAGGAAAAAAAGGTCTCTTAGGAATTCGCTCTTGAAAGATATTGCAACTGCGTGAGAGAAAGACGTTATGGCATTATCATAAGTACAGAACAGATTAAACGGCCTAACGGCCCCAAAGTACTCGCAGGTTTTTGTTTGTTAGACTTAAAGACAGAGGCGCGAGCAAAGTGATTGCTTTCAGAGTGAGGGGCCACAGTGTGTGTACGGAACCAGTGCTGTTCTTTTACATCTAAGAGCACTATAAACATTTTTCCCTTGTGCCTTATTTGTCATTGCTATTATAACCATTTAGACAGATGTTGTGGGGCCATTGGGCTGTGAGGGCTTAATCTGATCATGGTTAGTTTTAGGTGCCATGTGGTGGTTTTACTCTTCAAAATGGAAAATTGAATGTAGCATTTTAATGACCTAAAGAAACTAGTTCAAAAGACTCTGAAACTTTGATCTCCATAGTCAAACAATATTGAAAGGCGGACTTTGTTGTGTAGCTCTGACAAGTGTTTATTGGAGACATGCTCTTTGGAAGGGGACGTTTTAACTCTGTTTCATTTGTGTGAATTATACAGGCCTGTGCTCAGGAGGCACATCTAGGAATATTAACTATGGGTGCTGTTTATTATGCTGTTGATTATTGTTGGGGATGCTGCAGTTCCTTGTAAGAGTTTATTTCAATGGACTATAAATGAGTTGTGCTTGGGCCATGTCTGGTTATATTGATTTATGAAACCTTCACAGATTCTACTTAGTTTGACCTCGTGTAATTTTTAGCTGCACACTTTTGTCATGAGGAATATGTCAAAATGGTACAGTATTTTAGATGGCCTACCAGTAGTAGTGAGAAGTATTGCTTAGAAAGGCGTGGAGACCAGATTATTTCATTTCCTTCTTATTAAGGGCCGCAAGCCTGAAAGCGTCTTCTATAATATGTCACATATATTACTATAAATAATTTCCTTCCAGTATAGATGGACTGGTATATTATGCATCAGTAGACTCCTATGTGTATTACAAACTGAATGATAAACTAATCTATGTAGATGTTTTCTTAGGACGTTTTCTTTAAGTTCATCAGGTAAGTGCCAAAAAGAGATTATTTTTGTAAAGCACCCATGCTATCTTCACATTTTAATTCATGAGTGTCAAGCTATAGATGAGGTACAGAATATTTTTCAGCTCTCATCAAATTTCTCGCTAAAGGGTTAAGTGATATGGATGAATCTAATATGGTGTCAACACTGCTACTATTTCCTTGGATTGCCTTTGTATAATGAACATATAAACTGAGCTAGATCTAATCAATTTTGCTTATTTTTTTCCCCTTGTAGTGCCCTGATTCAGCTTGCAAGCAGGATCTGTTAGCATATCTACAGCGCATTGCCCTCTATTGCCACCAGCTCAATATCTGCAGCAAGGTGAAGGCAGAAGTGCAGAATCTTGGAGGAGAACTTATTGTATCAGGGGTAAGCTGGTATTTGTATTTAGCAGTTTACATATCCCATAGTTGCACTTGCCAGGGAGCATTTTCGGTGACAAGAATGTAAAAGACAAAAAAATAGTGATTCACAAGCAAGCTTCTTAAAATGTTATCTCCATTATTCCAGACCTTACAATAACTTGTGTAGAGCAATTTGATTTTCCAATTACCCTTTGTTTATACTAACCTTGTAAAATCTTCATTCCTCCAAAAGAAAGGTAATTTCATAGTCTAGAAACTCATTGCCAAGCTGTGAATATTATAATTATTTGGAGCTTTTGTTTATTTGCTTATTGTAAATCTACTTTCCTTTGTTAGTATTGGTAATTTCCCTCCTCTGAGCAGGAGCCAGCACTGCTCTGTATGGAGTGCATATTGTTAAGATGGTAATATCTAACAGGATTTCATTCACTCAGGTTCCAATGCATACTAGGCTTAGCAAAAACTCTGGAAGGCTAGCAAAATATTTTACTTTTTGTGTGCTGTTTCCAAATACAGATGCCAAACCTAAAAATTACATATTCTAATTCCTTCCATTTGCTTGTTTCAGTAATTTTTTTAATGAAAATGCAAATGTTTTATCCACAATCACCAGGCATTTGTTGTCCAAATTAGAAATGTGTAGAGACAGTCAGAACATAAATTGTTTGTGCTGCATTTTAAAAGATGTTTTCTCCCCTTCACCTCACCTTGAGCCATCTGCCTCTGTGAGACCAGTGGCAAAAAGTACTAGCATTTGCTACTCTTCATGGGCTTTTTTGTTTTTTTTCTTTATGCTACTCACTGTAGGTTTGACGCAACCACACTTTGGTCACTGTCCAAACTGCATATAGATTATGTGTATACTCGTGTATACTGTATTCCCTCTTGCATATACCAGTGTTTACTATATTCCCTGACCCCCACTGTGCTTTCAAGATGACAGAGATTTGTGAAAACTGAGGCACTTTAGACAAGTTTGTTTGAAAATGCCATTTTGGGGAAAAATAACACATCCTCTGATTGTTTAAACCCAATCAAATTTGAAGACTGTTGAGACAAGCTGTGCCCTCCATTTTATCCATACAACCCCAAGGGAAATCAGCGGGCTTTCCCAAAGCTAACTGAGAACAAAACATATGCCCTTTTGTTATATATATAAAACAATGATTTTTTTTGCAAAGCACTGTGTGCAGCTTTAAAACTTGGCTGGGCTACTTGCAACTATTATTTTGAAATCATACATGCAGTGCTAGAAGGAAGTTGCTGCACTGTTCTGCTCCTGTGCCTCTCCTGCAGATGGTTTCCACCTCTTGACATAAGTACAAAGTAGTGTAATTTGAACAGCTTGATCTTCCCACAGCAATGAAAATCCCTTTTCATTTTCCTGGTGTTGAATGAGTGATCTTTCCTTATATCACTGACAATTGTACTATATATAAAATGCTTATCTTACCTACTGCCATACAAGTCCGGCTTTCCATACCCATTTATCTTTCACTCCCATCCATCTATAACAGTTGCCCAAATTAGATCTTCTTTCAGCTTGGCTTTTGTGCTTATGTTTATTTCTTTTCCAGTTCTCTTTATTTACTGTACGTGGATGTTGAACAGGCCATTGTGAACCTCTAACATACAGTTTGTTATTGAAACATCATCATACACTGTGAAATTTAAGTGGCTGAAATGCTTGACTTCTTCATTTCCAAGCTGGCATTGTTAGCATCTGCTGCTTCCCAAGCTTCATCACCATTGTCTTGTTTTGCATTCACTTGCAGTACAAAGCAATGCTAACCTCAGCCATTCAAATTACTAGCTTTTAAGTTGACTCCAAAGACAGTGTTAATGGCATTGACAGTAACCTAAACTCGCCGTATCTGTTTCTTTAGTTATTACTCTGTCATGGACTTAATGGAGATGGTGCAGAAAGTTGATCTTTTGTCCATCCCTTTTTGAGAACCGTATCTTAGAGCTTGGCGAAGCAAAATGAATCCACTGCTTTTCTGGTCGCATTTAACGTGATTTACATCTTCAAGTGCTGGGTACTGTATGCTCTTTTGCCGACCTCGGGACTATCCAGAGATCAGATGTCCAAATCCACATCTACATCTGTAGCCTGCTTATCCACTTGCCACTTCTGCTTCCATCTTGTTCTTCATTCTCTCTTGGATAGCCAGCTGCAAATAAAGAGTACTTTATTTGCATAAAAAAGAACAACAGTTATTTGGCAACTTGCATACAGTACAATGATCTTGAAAGTGCAGTGGAAATCCAGAGTTCGTGGCCCCAAACCATTCACTATTACAGGAAACTGATGTGTATGCATTATATTCAATTGTTTTTTGTGATGTAACAATCACCCTGGCACTTGACATTTACAAATTTTGAAGGAGATGGAACTATAACATACATCCGTATTTACTAGGAGTCACCAAATTATTCACCATTTCCCTCATCCAGAAGTTTAGCTGTGATTTCAGAACCACTGGTTCTGGGGAATATAAACTCTGCCTGACTTTCTGCTTTATTAGGAATGTTAATCCATGTTTCCAAACACAGTGAATAAATATAAAATGACTAGAACCTCGGAGACATACATGATCTGTTCTGATTACCTTAACTCTATTCTGGCAAGGAAAAATATGTTCCATTTTATATGATATGTTGAAGTTATTGCATAATGTGGTGTATGCCTTTTTGGTGAAATTTCTGTTTGTTTATATTCTCCATAAGTTACTTGTAGTGCAGTATATTTTACATTCAAACCTAAGCACACACCCAGTCTCTCTCTCTCTACATCAGTGTGACATTTACCTCATGTATGAAGATTTTGTTGGTATCATTAACTTACTTACAGATAGGCTGAAAAGTATATCAAAAAGCAAAGAAAATGAGGCTATCAAACTCCTGAAAGGGAAATTATTTCAATAAGAGGAAAGAACCCTTTAAATCATTTCCCTTCTTTCTCTCAATCCTTTCTCCCTTAACTTCCCTTCCATCTCTCCCTTGATCTTTCCATCCCAAAATGTTCTCTGCCTACCGATCAACAAGACTCTTTTCCCCAGGTAAATCTCATACACCAGGTCTTCCACTGGTTTAAATCAGTGTAGCGCCATGTGTTTCAATGGCACTATTCTGAGTGCTGATTTATACCAGATGGTGATCTGAACCAGTAGGTTTATGTTTAGATTGTGAGACTCCAACTCCCTGTCTCCCAGTTCAGTTTTGAAACACAGTGTAAGAAAAATGTATTTGAGAGCTCTTCTGTGGTGAAGAGCCTTATTAACCTGGAGTGAGGGAAGCATACGGAGGCAAGGAAGATATAAAGGAAGGGACATAAAATAATAAGGAGATAGGGGAATAGAGGCTGAAATGCCCAAAATGATTTTTAAATAGCTGCTAAAGATCTTGAGTGAAATCCTGACCTCATTAGGTATGTCTACACAGCAATTAAACACCCACGGCTGGCCCATGACATCTGACTCAGGCTCACAGGGCTCAGGCCAAGGGGCAGTTTAATTGCAGTGTAGACGTTCAGGCTTGGGCTGGAGCCTGGGCTCTGAGATTCTGCAGTGGAGGAGGCAAAATTCCCATTGACTTCAGTGTGGCTAGAATTTCATCTCCTGCTTTGTTTCTAGTTGCAGCCCATGTGGTTTTGTAATTTAGCATTTGAATATTTACAAAAAACCCTGTATAATAATAATAATAATAATAATAATTAATAATGAGTTTGACAGCCTCATTATTAATTATTATTACTGTTTTTATTATTAGGCATTTCTTATTAAACAGTTGTTACAATATCCTGGGATAATAAGCACCTTGACTTCAGAGTTCATTTCCTCAGTCTTCAGCCAGAGAGTTCATTCAGTGCAAAGTGCAGCTATTGCCTGATAAACAGGAATCACTCTTAAAGTGGATTAACTTCCATGAGATGCTGTTACATATTTCTCCCATTGAAGTAAATGTCCATTACAGATACATGGCCTCACAACAGGTATTAGCATGTTGTTGTTGTTATTGTTGTTGTTGAAAAGGGGTGTAATCTATGAAGTTTGGATCCAGATCAAAATCCAAGCTTCCCAAGAGTTTGGGGTACTTCTTTTCTCGGTGTTCCAGCCGGGGTCCGGATCAAAATATATCATTACGTCAAAACTGACTTGTATGTTCTCTTATTGCTATGGAGCAAACAGTCAGCAGAAAGTCTACTATACATTTTGTCCCTGAGCTTGCATTTCTTTTTATTTCATGTTTGTGTCAGGAGCTTGATGTCCACTGTCTTGTTACCTACAATAATTTAATCCTGGCTTTAACCGGGTAAGAGTTTAGCATTATGTGAAAGAAAGACAACCTGCTCAATGAGCGATTTGGTAAACTGCTAAGACTGTCACCTCCTTTTCATTTGAGAGCATCAGGAATCTAAGCAAAATATTTCTGTTTCCAGCCACTAACTGTGTAAGTTTTACTATTGAATTAGAATTTAAACAGAAGAATAACACATGAAATAAACCCATGAAAACAGGCTGATAAACCAAAATTTATTTAGACCTCTGTGGGCTGGGCTGCTTGGACAGTTGATCTCTCAGATTTGGAATAAATCTGTTTAAGCAGTATGTTTTGTAAAGAATGTCCTCCCATCTGCTTTTTAAAATACAATAGAGATTTTTTCCTAATCACAATTCATAGCTATTGATAGTAAGATTCCTACTTTCTGTTTGTTAGTAATTGCATCTTATTTAACTCACTGTGAATATAGTAGAAGAAACTATGGCTGTCAGACAATTTAAAAAATCAAAATTAATTGTAAGATTTTTTTTTTTAAATAGTTGCAATTAATTGCAGTTTTAAACACACTGTTAAACAATAATAAAATACCAATTTAAACTAATTATACATATCTGTGGATGTTTTTCTACATTTTCAAATATATCAATTTCATTTACAACACAGAATACAAAGTGTACACTGCTTACTTGATGTTATTTTTTATTACAAATATTTGCACTG